CCCAATGACATCAAGGTAGACATTCCTTAATTTAAGGGAAGACTCTAGCCAGACGAGTTTGTAGACTGGCTTCAAACTGTTGAATGAGTCTTTGAATATGAGGAGATTCTAGACACGCAGAAAGTCAAGATTCAAGAAACATGCTTCCATTTGGTGGGAAAACCTTAGACGCAAGCAAGAATGTGAGGTAAAGTACAAGATTGAGACCTGGGAGAAAATGAGAGGCCAGCTCACCAGGAAATTTCTGCTAGATCATTACCACCATGATAACTTTTTCTAGCTGCAAAATCTTTGACAAAGGTCTTTATTTGTTGAAGAATATACTAGAGAATTTAAACAACTCATGATGAAGTATGACATTCAAGAGAAGGAGGAGTAAACAATAGCCTGGTACCTTGCAAGCTTAACCACTGATATCAACTATCCAATCCAGCTTCAGCAGTATTAGACCTCGGATGATGTAATCCATCTAGCCATGCGTGTTGAGAAGCAGATGCCTAAGAGGTCCTCTTTCTAGCCTTCTTCATCAAGGGGTTACCCAGAAGCCCATAAAGTAGAATTTTAGCAAACCAACTCCTTAAGCAAGCCACAATCTAGCACTATATACAAACTATCACCTAATACTGCTAAGGAATCTAGCTCTAAAGCAATTAAATGCTTTAAATGCTAAGGATTTGGCCACATTAATATAGATTATCCTACCCAAAGGGTAGTTAGCATTAGAGAAGGACAAGAGTATGAAGCACTTGAAGAAGATGCGGAGGGGACTGAGTTTTATGGCATTGATCTTGTATATAATGAGGAGGTCATGCCTGTTGATCAGGGAGAAGCATTGGTGCTTAGATGAAGTCTGCATAGAACTGTAGTTAAGGAAGAACCTTAGCTATGACGCAATATTTTTCCATACTCGTTGCATGGCCCAAGGAAAAGTTTATAATGTCATCATTGTCAGTGGAAGCTGTGAAAATGTAGTATTTGACTATATGGTGGAGAAATTAAAGTTGCCAACACAAGATCATCCATAACCTTACAAGCTTCACTAACTCAACAGGGGGAGTGAGGTAAAACTTTTCAAATAATGCCTTGTGACCTTTTCTATTAGGAACCAATATTGCGATAAAGTTTTGTGTGATGTTGTTCCTATGGATGCATGCTACCTTCTCTTAGGCAAGCCATGGCAATATGATCGACATGCATGCACAACGGGCGACCAAACACCTATTCTTTTATGAAAGATAGTGTAAAGTTCACACTAGTGCCTTTATCGCCTAATGAGATTAGCCAATCTTCTAGGGAATCTAGCACCTTTAAGCTATTAGTATCTTTAATGACTATGGAGGAACTCAAGGTGTCAAAGTTTGAAGCCCAAATGATGAGCCTTATTCTGATGCTTAAAGTGAACGATGAGTCTACCAATCTACCAGGAGTCATTCTGTTATTGTCTAAATTTCTAGATGTAATATTTGATGAGATACCACCAAGGTTGCCTCTCATGCGAGACATATAACACACTATTGACTTCGTTCCAGGAGCAGTCATTCCTAATAAGCCTGCCTACAGGATGAGTCCTTATAAACATGTTAAAGTCCAATGGCAAGTTAAAGAGTTGTTGAACAAAGGGTTAGTTTGAGAAAGTGTTAGCCCTTATGCTGTACCTATTCTTCTCGTACCTAAGAAAGATGGGAGTTGGAGAATGTGTATTGACTGTTGAGCTATCAACAAGATCACTATTAAGTATCAGTTTCTGATACCTCAACTCAATAATGTGCTAGACTAGTTGCATGGTGACAGTATATTCTCCAAAATTAACCTTTGTAGTGGGTACCACCAAATTAGAATTAGACCAGGGGATGAGTAGAAGATTGCTTTCAAGATTAAAGATGGTTTGTATGAGTGGAATGTGATGCCTTTTGGATTAACAAATGTCTCTAGTATATTTACGCGCTTGATGAATTAGGTATTAAGACCTTTTATTGGCAAATTTATTGTTGTGTACTTTGACGATATTCTTATTTACAGCAAGAGTCAAGAAGAACACTTAGATCACTTGTGGCAAGTTTTGCAAGCCTTGTGAGAATATAAGCTTTATGCTAATCTCAAAAAGTACACCTTCCTCACTAGTAAAGTTGTGTTCTTGAGATACATCATTATTGTAGAAAGTGTTCAAGTTGATCCAAGTAAAGTTACAGCCATTAACAACTGGCCAATTTCAAAATCTATCCAGGAGGTTCAAAGTTTCCACGAATTAGCTTCTTTCTATAGGAGGTTCATCCTTAATTTTAGCTCTATTGCTACACCACTTATAGATTGCACCAAAGGATAGAAATTTTAGTGGACAAAGCAAGTTTAGAAAAGCTTTGAGGAGCTTAAGAAGAAGTTTACCAAAGCTCCAGTCCTATCTCTTCCTAATTTTGACCAAGTGTTTGAAGTTAGCTGTGATGCTTTTAACACCAGCATTAACGCTATCTTAAGCCAGGAGGGCCTTTGTAACGTCCCTGAGATTAAACCACAATTTACTCCAAATCATGGTGATCCAAGGTTTAACCCTAAAAAGATTACCAAATTACAAAATTTAATAAAAAGGAAATTCTCAAAATTCTTTCAAAGGAATCCCCAACAATTCAAAACTCAAACATGATTTAATAAGTCCAAAGTAAAGTTTTGAAAGTAAAGCAGAAGCTTGAAAATCATTTGAGACCCAAATAATGAGTTTTAAAACTCAAAAATAGATTTTATGCAGAAAATGTCATGTGCACCGCGGCTTATGGCATATGTGCTGCGGCACGTCTTTTCTATGCCATACGCCGCAGCGTGAGGCGCAAAATTTGATAGCATCAGTGCTGTTATTTGACAGCACAGGGAGCGAACTTTCGGCGCGTCCCAAATCTCCTTTTGACTTTGATTAAAGTGGTTTCAATGTCTACATAGAACTTTCTCCTAACTCTAGCTAATAACACTATTTTCACACTCAAACTCATTTTCTATAAAAAGTTGGACACCAAAACTCATTTTGACCACTTTTTCACAAAATCTCACAAATGGGGTGTCGCAACTCAACCACACGTGCCAATAGTTTATACTAACCATCTGACCATACTTAATAGGCTCTTGCAAACTCATGCAATGCACCACACACAATAAAAAAAAAGCTTATCTCATGAAATCACCACTCAATCTCGATTTTTACAAAACATAAAGGGGGAGGAAATGTTGTACAAAATCAACAATTTCATTCTAAATTTCTCAAAATACATATGTCTCTACTTGTAAAAGTATTTTAGCCTTGTCCATGGGTTCACAACCCAAAACTCACTAATCTAGGGCACAAAATACTCTAATTATACATAAAATCATGCAAGTAGTGCATAAATCATGCAAATAATCCTAGTTCACAATTACATTAACAAATACATACGAAAGTAACAAAAGAGAGGCATATAGAGGGTTACTCCACAAATCCTAGGGCTTTATATGTTTTTCCCAACTCAAATTTGATGAGCTAGGTTTTAAAAATATTGAGAATTGAGGGGTGAGTACAAGCACTCACTGATCAAGTTTCACTTAACCCATACAGTTGTATATCAATTATAAATAGATGTAATTAGACAAATAAGCACGAATAACACATAACACTCAGCCACAGTTCACAAAACTAACAACTATGTGACCAAGCTTACCACAAAACACTTAATCATGTTATTTTGCAAAACATAACACAGGGTCGCAAAAATAACAGCCATGTACCTTCAACACATGCTGGACCATAAAACTAACAACTATATGGTCGAACTTATATGCATGATTATATGCTAACCTTATATCCTCTTGTTACTTCTGACACGAAACCGGTGGTTATCATATGGCTATGTCCTTCATAGACTAATCCAACCTTCGACTTATAAGGAGCTACCGGTTAGGGTAAACTCACTTACTTATGTAATTTAGTTTTCCCCAATACTAACAACCATAGGGTTTCGTACCCCTAATCTAGCCTCCTCATAAACCGGTAGAGACTAGTTAGGTTCAAGTCCCTTATAGAATAAGTAGGACAGTCCCGAATCAACCATGAGATAAGGGCTATCTCTCAATTCCAACGATCAATGTCAAAGCTAGTTCTCGATTCCAACAGTCACTGCCAATACCATTTCAACCAATCTACTTCTTTCCTTAGGCAAACTCCAGCCAATGATCATGCTATGCGTATTTCTCATATAATATGCAATTTAACAATCAATTCATAATACATAAACCCACATAACTCAATACTTCACAATTCAATACATAATATATCACAATTCTCCACCCAATAATAATAAATCATAATCAATTTCATAAAACATCAAGGGTGACAAAATCAAAGTTTTCTTTCTAAAAACCATTTCACAAATCAAACAATTTGCAAATATGCATCATTAATTTAATCCATAATTCACATTTCACAAACAAAATTAATATTCAACTATAAAGATTAAGTTTTCCCCAGTTACTTTAAACCTTTAAGAGATTAAAGGTTTACCCCTCACTGTACAAACTTTTCAAAGCTTTAACCAGCTTGAATAATGCGAAAAACGAACCTCTCTACATCCATACCACAAGAATATCATTAGTCTAACTCTTGAAGCTTTATCAACATATAACTTCATACACTCTATTTTTATCAACTTATAATCACTATCCATTCATATATAATGGGCTCATTAAATTTTATTAATGCACATTATCATTAACAACACTTCAAACCATCATTAATGCACATAAACCTCTCCTAACTACCATATTTATGATAATTTTTGGATAATAAATGCTTCTATAGACTAACCACTTTCAAAATCATCAATGTGGTGTTCCAATACATTAAACAACTCTCATTATATTTATTTTAACCAATAGAATCAGATCCATACTCCTATGGACTAAAAATTCATCTCTCAAGTCAAACCCTACCACAAATCATCATAAATAAGGGAGAGAAAGGAAAAAAAAAGGAACCATAACCTTACCTTGGGTGTTTGAAAGCTTCAAAATGTCTACAATAGAAGCCAATGTCGTGCCCTCGTAGAGACTAAGTCAAGCTCTTTATTTTCCTCTCCTCCTCCTCTTTTATTTTCGCATGCAAAACGAATCAGATATATCTAATTTTTAGCTTGTGCGCCTACCCTCCGCTGTGGCACATGGCACAAAGGAGCTCATTATTCAAATTTGTCTCTGTGCATCGCGGAGGACCCTCATAGAGAACGATTCTTTATTTTTTCTTCCTTTTTCCTTGCCCGGGTGGCTCGTCATCGATCTGGACCTATTTCTAGAGCTGAAATCACAACAATTATGCCAAGTTAATCCCTTTTAGCCATACACCTCATTAACTCGCTAATTACCCTTATTAGGTTAATAAACTAAGGTTAAATTTTTTCAATATTATAGCCTTCCCATCGCCTTTTTCAGTGAGAAGCTCAACAATGCCAAACTTAGGTATTCTAACTATGACAAAGATTTTTATGCCATTATTCAAGCTCTTCAACATTAAAGTCATTATCTCCTAAACAAAGAGTTCATACTCTTTTTTCATGAAGCTCTCAAGTATTTGAACTCTCAACAAAAGATCAGGCATAGACATGCCCATTGGAGTGAACTCTTACAGTCTTATCCATTCCTCTTATGGATATCATTCTATAAGTTTTAAGTCTAAGTTCTTTTATCCAAATCTCATCTTAACTAATTCTTCAATATCTACCAATCCAAACAAATTAATTTAACTCAAAAATTTTAATCTATACTTATCATAATTATGCTCTCAGCACATAAGTTTCAACTTAAACTCTTCTCTCTCTTCTTTTTTTTATACCTTTCCTCTCAACAGTTACAAACAGAAACAGCAGAAATTCAAGAGAAAATTGGCAACTTTAACTCTATCATATCTTACACTTACATGCACAGATTTTTACGAAAATAGAAAATCATGGTTCCTCATCTCATCTCAATAGAAACAACAGGACAAAGTAGCAAAAAGGAGAGGAATGTCTGAATCCATGCTAAAACACAACAGAAATGAGAGATGACGCATCAGAATTGGAAGGAGACAAGGAAAAACTTGGAGCTCAACCTATCACAGCAGCCCGAACAAAGGGAGGAGAGGAAAGGAGTTCACGATAAAGAAAAAAAAAAAACAGGGGAGGAAGAAGACCAATGAAAACGCGCGCCACAGCACCGTCAAAGGAGGGGGATTTCGGTGTTTTCCTCCAGTCACCAGCGGCGAACAGTGAGAAACAAAGGTGAAGGGAGAAGAAGAAGATTGAACACACTCAACCATATGGATAGAGAAGGCAGTCGACACCGGCATTCACCATGGGAGAAGAACGAAAACTCATGACTGAAGCTTCCTGCATGGCAAACTGTTGTAGATGCCCAACACACGCCTGAGGAACTGGAATAGAGGAGGAGCGATTGCTTGAACGAAGCTCCCCTCTATATTCTCTAGAATCGAATCGAAGAGGATGAGGGGAAGTGAAATATCCGTACGTGATCTGATAAAATCTCATCCTCATTCTTTTTATTTTATTTTTATTTTTTCTCAACGAGGGCATTGCAGTAATTTCTCAAACTGAAGCAAAAGTAAAAAAAAATGTTGTGTTCCACGTATGTAGATTCGAACTTTGAAGCAGCAAGTAAAGGCCCAGAATAATTTCGACTAAACTACCCATCCTTTACTATGATATAATTACCCCAAAATTTATAAAATTACAATCAACCTATATCGTTATTAATTTTTAATGTTATTATTTTCAGGGTTATTACAATTTGGTTTATGAATTCGTGAAAGGTAATGTTCCTATCTAGAGAGAATATGTGTGGATCAACTTCTAGAAATGACCTATTCCTAAAAAGATTAAAATCTTCCTGTTGAAAGTTTCACTTGAGAGACTACCCTCAAACTCAATTAGAGCCAAGAGAGGCTAAACAGAGATGGTTTATGCCAATATGAATGTCAAAGAGAGCAAGAGATTATACACATTTTGAGAGATTGTAACATCGCTTCTGGAGTCATGATCCTGGAAATAATCATTTCAAAAAATGGCCTTAGGTTAGAGTTTTTTCGTTAGTCTGTTGGACCTTTTTGACATCAAGGTGCAAAAAAATCTTTAACACATGTACACCTTTAATCAAGGAGATAACTCATCGCTGTATAGCACTCATACTGGAAGAAACAAGCAATGGGAAGTTCAAAAATAGAATATTTCAACTACATACCAATGCTCATAGCAAATAGATTCCACCCTCATCAGATTTCATGTAGGTAGATATGGATGCTTCATTCATATTGTTATGACTTGCATAACCACGACTTCTATGAAGGTTCTTTGGAATGGAGAAGAGTCTAGAGAGTTCTAACCTTTAATAAGGATAAGACAAGGAGATACTTTAAGCCCTTATATCTTTTTCCTTTGCATGGAAAGATTGGGTATGATGATTCAAGATCTTTGTAGGAAAAAGAAATGGAAACCTTTGAAAATCTCTGCTTCTTGGCCTTCTATATCACACTTAATTTTTTATTGATGACCTTGTTCTGTTCTATAAGGCTTCCTTGGAGCAAGCTGCTTTGGTCAAGAAAGTTATGTTGAATTTCTGTATGGCCTCATGACACAGAATGAATTTAAGGAAAACTAAGCTATTTTGTTCTAAAAAAGTTAGCCGGTATCTTTCCTCTGACATCAGTCAACACCTTGGAGTGGGACTTACCCCAGGCTTGGGAAAATACTTAGGAATTTCATTGCTTCACAAAAAGTCACCAAAGGTATGTTCATTCCTATTATTCAAAAAGTTCAATCCAAGCTTTCTTCTTGGCAAAGCTCTTTTCTAAATATGGCTGGTAGAACGATGATCACAAAGTCTGGTATTTCTACACTCCCATCCTATTTTATGCAAACCATGAATATCCCTGTAGGTATTTTAAAGGAGATTGATAAATACAATCAAAATTTCTTTTGGGAAAATAGGGAGAATCAAAAGAAAATGCGTCTTATTTCTTGGAATACATTAGAGAAAGTAAAACAAGGGGTTGGGTATAAAGAATAAGGCTTTTCTGATGAAATGGTGTTGGGTTTTTCTTACAAATGTTGATGCCCGTTGGGTTAAATGCTTGAGATCTAAATATAGATGTGGCGAAGGTATTATTCCAGCGGTTGTTAAAAACAGTTCTACCTCCCATACTTGGAACAACATTGTTAAAGTTTGGGAAAATTTTCTTCAAGGAGTGAGCAAGAAAGTTAACAATGGTAAAACCAATAGCTTTTAGTGGGATCATTGGGCTACATTTGAAAGATCCTTAATTGAATATGTGACCAATATATCCATCCCTTTTAATGCCCATGCTAAGATTTGTGATGTTTATTCTAGCATGGGTGGGTGGGATATTTGCGCTCTCCAATATCCCTTTTCCTAATGCTGTTATCAGGAGAATGATGGTTTTTGGTGGGGACCATCTAGCGATGTTAGATTCTCAATCAAATATGCTTACTCTTTCCTTGAAACTGGTACATCTAATGGTTTATCCCATATCTGGTCTCATTTATGGAAGTGGTCTTTACAGGAAAAAATCAAATACTTCCTATGGCAGGGCCTGCATGAGTGTCTCCCAAGAAACCTCATTAGAGCAAAGAGAGGGATTACTCAAGACACTCATGCCCTTTTGAGTGTAGATGTGATGAGAATGCCATACACATCTTGAGAGATTGTAAAAGAACAAGAGAAACATGGGAGAAAATTATTAATAATGTTTTTCATAACAAATTTTTCTCATATAGCTTGCATGATTGCTTTCAATAGAACATAAGCCAAAACTTAGGAGGTTGAATCTTTCAAACTTGGGACTTAACGAAGATCTTTGGAACCATTTGTTGGTTAATCTGGACAACAAGATGCAAGGAAATATTTGAAGGAACACAGCACCATGCTGAGAACATTTAGTGCATGTAGATCGAAACTGATGGAAGAAAGTGATTTACAACACTTTAAGTTAATACTCAAACAGAGGTGCAAGATTCCGTTTAGGTTGCTCTAGTTGATGGTACAATACGCATGGGTGTGGATGCTTCTGTAAATCAAAATAATAGTATGGCCTTTAGAGGATTACTCAGGGACTCAGAAGGAAGTGGATTATAGGTTTCACATGCAATTTGGGGTATATGCCAATCACAATTGCAGGAGCCAAGGCAATCAAATATGGGAGTGAGGCCTGCAACCTTGTTCATGCAGGGAAAGTTTATGTAACTTCAGACTTAAGGAGGCTATGGATATAATCTATCAAGGCATGGCCAGGAATCATCTGTTTTATAATGATATTGTGGAACTTCAACTACTTGTATGTGAGCGAAAGAATCTGGAAATGCAACACGTCCATCGTGAGGGAAACATGTGTGTTGATTTTCTTGCCAAGTTTACCTATAAGGGGCCGAACCACTTGAAGCTTCTTCATAACATTCAAATGGATTGTATTAATCTTATTTTACAGGACCAAAACAGGGTTAGTACCCTACGTATGCAGCTTTGGTTCTTTCATTTTGTGTTTGTTTTTCCTCTAGCGGTCTGCTAGCCTTTCCTAGAGCTAAAGAGAGAGAGAGAGAAACTCGAGTGGTAGACGAATCGTCGGATTTCAAAAAGAACTTGTTGTAAGAAGCATAGTGGAAGCAGAAATTCATGCAATTAAATTATGCTTTGGAAGTGAGTAGACAGTTGGATTTTACAAAAATCCAGATATTGTCGGATTCACTGAATGCTATTTATTCACTGCTGAGGGATGCTTGGAAGTGAGTAGATGTGGCCTGAATGATTTTTTTGTGTAATTTTGCTTCCAGGCTAGTGTTGTTCTGCTTATTTTAATCCTTTAAACTTCGGCTTGCCTTTGTCATTAAAAAAAAAACAATTTTATGCCTACAAGTGTGATGAATTATAAGTCACCCTCAAATACAGATGACGGGAAACTCACTGCAGGTGGAGAAGGACCTCCATGGATGCTGCGATTGCTCCTCCTCAGGTCTGTATCTGTTATCGAGTTCTATTTTAAAAAAAAACTATAGTGGTCTGTGTATTTGTATGGAATTTATATTTTATCTTCCGTTTGTAGCTTGTGGATGATGTTGCTTGCTATATTTATATATTTTGTATTGATACGAGTAACATTTGATGAAATCTATACGGTATATGAACATATTAATTGTCTTTTATTTATCCATAAATTTCAAATATAAGTCCAGAGTTTCTTCTATTCAGTAAAAGTGAAGAATTAGAAAATTTATTATAATTATTAGATACAAATTAAATTATCATGAATTAGATTTATCTTCTATGTTTGTCGACCCTTCTGCTGCCTGAATCACACATACATATTTGGGTTTAAGGATGACAAGTGGCTTCTCTCTTGGAAATTCGAAGGCTCCTAACTGTATTCATCTCAAATATTGGCCGATGTGGAGAACTTCAGAACTCAAGTCTCTTACTTTATGCCCCCACTTGTCTTTTGAATTCCTTATGTGGAAAGTTTATTTGCTGGTTCAGTGGGTCTTTGTTCTTTAGTCTTATAGGTTATTTTGGTTTTTCTTTAGTCTTTTAGGTCTGTAACTTTTAAGCTTATATAATTTGTTTTTTTTCCTGTTTTTGGCAGGTTTTGTTTGTATTTTACTTTGGTTGTGATGTTTTTCTCATTACAAAAAAAAAAAAAAGAAGAAGAAGAAGAAGAAAATAATTGGATTAGCAGTCTAGAGCCAATAAGAGTGAAGAGTGCGCTTCTAGGCTACAAGACCATTGCTTATAATGCCTCTTTTGGTGGTGTTGTCACTGTACACTTGTATATCAGCAGATCACCAGGCAATGATTTCTGAATCCATTATATCTAGATTTATGCAGTTCAAATATTCTGGTGTTACATTTGATCCTGATCATTGTTGTGCTTTTCAACATGCTGGTGAATTGGCATAATTCTCTAATTGTGATGGCAGAAATCCTAAAATAAGAACATGGTGTAATTAAATTATTTAGAGTAGATTTAGATTGATAGATTAGGATTTGTATTTAGATTTTAAATTTAAAATCTTACATTTCAAATCTCATATTTAAAATTTATATATTTAAAACTCTTTGTTTGAATAGTTTAAAAAATGTCAAATGAATATGAGAGATGAATTAAGATTAAAACAAAATGAAAAATTGAAAATGATAAGTTTATTTTGATTTTTTAATTGACAAAATATAACAATTATAAATGTATTAATAGTAAAAATGCGAAAAGAATGACATGTTTAAAGTTATTAAAATTTCAAGTACCTAAAATATGAATGGAATTTAAAATTGTAAATAAATTATGATTTAAAAAGGATTTTGATTTAAATCAAATTCAAATTCATAATTTTTTGTGCATTTAAATGAAAGATCTGGGCTAAATCCAAACACACCATAGATGCTTTCTGCTTCTTGGCCAAAATAGACGTGTTCTTCATTATATCGAAGATTTTGATTAGTTAAAAGATTTCCGGAAAGAGCTGTACTCCTCCTTTCACTTATTTCTTTGTCCTTAACTATAGTAATGGACTGCTTTAACTCAAGCTTATAACTAAACCTAAATGGATGTAATAGTTTGGGCAACTGAATGGTTAATATCTTTATATTCTTTTAATTATAATCCCTAACATGTCATTACATGAAAGCCAGGTGGACTTGATGTGTGTTGAAGCACATGCCTTGTACTGAAATTTCGATTACCCCAATTGAAATGTAGATGTGTTGGCCATCTATATTTTGACCCAAGCATATAAGCTGTGTAGTGAAGGCTTGAAAATAATGCTGCACTTTTATTATAAAACATTAACAATCAGAAATTTGATGATCTGATAATAGAATCAATTCATTACAAGTGTTTGGCTTTCAATTCTCACAAAACCACTTATCCGTTATCTTCTTCCCCATAGAACATCACTCATCAGGAATCGGGTTCGCCTATTGAGGACTTGAATCTGCCATTGGCTGTCCTTTGAGGAGTCTGCAGCAACTAACATCAGCCGTGCAAAAGAAAGTTTGTCGATGTTGATGGAAAGACTTGTATACACCATACATCATTATTATATATATGTTGAAGGAATTTTGATGATGTCTACAATTCAAGTATATGGTCTCTTTTATAAAGTTAATGAGTATTTTTACACATTATATTTGTTTCTTTTTTTTAATAGTCATTATTGTTAATGGACATTAGTCAAATTTAATGGAATGAATATTGTTGCATTCATTAGATCAAGTTTTTAGATATTATTACACCTTTATTCACTTAAAAATACTGAATGTTCTCAGAGAAAAAGCTATTGGATATTTTTGAATTTTAAGTTTGTCATTTATTTTGAATTCTTATCTCTGCAATGGTTCATTTATTGCTGTTATGTGTTGCATTTTCACTTTTTAAGAACATAATAAGAGAAAAACTGGGTAAATCACACTTTACTCCCTTGATATGATAATTGTTTCCCCAATATCTATACTCTACATGTTAACCCAATTTATTGAATTGACTAATACTTTTTTCCTGTAATTTATTATCTTCATCTACGTGCTCGTTGAACCTCTATTTGTTGGTGGAATAAAGTTTTTGTGAAGGATTTGGTCAACATTTCCATTGCCCTGAATTGACGGCTTTTTTTGTGTGCTTGGGTTTGTATGCCTTGACAAGCATGGTGCTTCGTGTGAAGAGAAAATGATACATAGAGTAGGAGAGTTTCACTTGACTAATTCTCATCAATTTAAGAATCAAACCTTATAAATCTAAATCACTTTTATAAACAATTTTTGTTGGACATGACAGCCAAAAAGAGAGTAAATGGAGTTCTTTAAATTTCTCAAAAACTTTTCCCAATCCCAATGAATAGTAAACAACAAAAAAATAGAGTGAAAAATTGATTATGATAAAATCAATTAATTGTGAGGAGAGAAGAAGAGAATGACACAAAAAATTTATCCTAATTTAACTCAATCACTTCCACATTGTTCTCAAGAAATTTCTAGAAATTTTACAGCTAGCTCAGCAAGTTTTCAATTGAACACTTGCAGCCACAGTACAGTCTCAATATTCAAAGTCTTGTAACTGACTTAATCCCTTACAAAGACTTGTAAGAATCAAAAACCAACTTAAGAAAAACCTTTTTTTAACCAATACTTTGAAGTATTCAAACATGAATGCTTATAAAATCTCAAAAGGTGTAAATGAATACAAAAACGCTTAAATAGAGTAAGAGAGCTTCTTTATAAAAATTCAATGAAGTAGTTGGATGCAATATATTTATTACCAACCAATTAAAATTAAATGAGGTTTTATTTATAGTTTTTGATTATATTTAGAAGCAAGAAATAGCAGAAGAGCCATTACCAGAGTTGCAACATGCAATAAAGATGCGGCTTGCAAAAAGCACTTTATTGCAGAAGAAATAAATACACGTCAGAACATTGGGCGTCATTTGGCGGATAGCATGTTAACTAGTAAAAAATGCAAGGTTTTGGGTTCTGGTTAGTTTAGAGGCCCAAAATTGGTTAGATAGCGTGCATATCGTGCTAACTGATATGGCTGAGAGGAAAGCATTGATGAAACAAGATGAAGACTCTCTAGATATCTTGTTATTTGTTGATTAGCGCACTATTGGAGTTACCGGGGAGTAGATCGTTTCTGATTAGGTGGCTAGCTGCCTAGATATATAGAATAAAAAAAAATAACAAATTAATGACAAAATTTAATGATGGAATAAATTGTTATCATTAATTCATCACTAATTCATTACTAATTTATTAACAGAATGTTTTGTTACTAAAAATTCTATCATTATTCTGCCGCTAAACTTTCATAAATAGTTTGGCAATGGAATTTACCAAAAAAAATTTATTGTTAATTTTTAGGATATCTTATTTTAATTTTGTGATAGAAGTTGCAACAAAAAAATTCATCACAAATATCTCCATCATAATTCCATTGTTAATTTTGTCATAAATTATTTTTTAATTTTATTATATGGTTTATAATATATATTTATGCATAATTAATTTTATAATTTATTATTATGCTATAAATAAATAATTTATTATTTTAAATTATTCATATAATAGTAATTTGAATTGTATACTTAATTATTTTTATTTAAAAATAAAAAATATTTATATTATATGAAAAATAATATAATATATAATGGTAATAAAATATTTGTCCAATTTAATATTAAATTTCCTATCAAAAATAATTTTTGTTAAAAAATAATATAATATAAATAATTATTATATATAAAAATTACTTTATCATATTAATAAATAAAGATAATTTCAAGTAAATAAGTATACGTAAATAATATATTTATTGATATAAATGTGTGTGGTGTTAAATATTATATATTTAATTTATAATTAAAGACTAAGCATCTTTTTTAGCTCAAATACTAGCAAGTAGATGAATGCAAAGACACTATAGAGATATGAGGTTGTGAGTTCTAGCTAAGTTATTTGAAGTTAATATATGATATGGTAGTGACAAGTGACATAGCAATGATGTGGCAATGACATGGCGATAAGGTGGCATAGGATTCATTGGGTGACGTGGCAATGGTGATTTATTGATGGACTTAAGATGGATTAATGATAGAATGTATTTTGTTACAATGTTAAAATAGCTTGTTCTTGTATACTAATTCTATCACTAATTAAAAACGAAATTGCCATTTTGTCATTCCATTGCTAATGAACTAGCGACAGAATTTGTCTTGATTGACAACGAAAAAATTCTATCACTTATCCATTGTTTCGTTGTAGTGATAGTAGATAGTTTGTTATTTGATGCACTAGCACTGTTTGAAAGATTTGGTAACTCAGCGTGGAAAATGAATCCAGACACTATATTGAAGCTCAAGTGTGCTACGCGAAAGACAAGAACAATAACCAAGTGTCTAGGAGGCAGCACAAGTGAAACTCATACTCATCAATAGTGCGTTATTTGAAGGACATGAGGACTCATATTTAGTTTCCCTTAAGTTGGATAGCACGCTAAGTAGAAATTTAGGCGCTAACGTGGACGGAAGAGGGGGAATTAAGGATGACACACACTAGACAAAGTGCTATCTGATGGATAGTACACTAAAGGACTAGAAGCTTGAAATATACGGCGTATTTAGTTTCTTTTCTTATTTTTTATTTTTTAAAATTATTTTGTAATATAGTTTTTAAAATTATTTTTCAAAACAAAACAAAAGACTTTGTTTGATTGTGTTAATTTAAAATCAATTTTAGAATTTAAAAATTGGCTGATAATAATAGTTACTGGCAATTAATAGTAGTAGCTTATGATAATCATTAGTTAAGGTAGTTGTAGTTTCTAATAATTAAATGTAGTGTACTTGAAAACAAGAAAATTAAAATGGAAACAATTTTAAGTTGTTTCTATTTTTTGTTTTAAAAAATAAAAAATAAAAATAGTTTTGAAAATAATTAGATTCAAAACATACTTATTCAAACAAGTTTTTAATTTTTTTAACAAAAAAAACTATTTTTAAAAATAAAAGCCAAACATGCCCTAAGTCTTCATCTTGTGCAAACTATTAATTTAATTATTTTGTATCTTCAAGATTTTCTTTAAGTCCTGCAAAAAAAAAAAAAGTAACTCATTGATTTGTTATCGTCTATACAAGTGAATGGTGATCCAACAATTTTCCTCATATGTAAGATTCAAATTTAAATTAGCAAAAAATTATTTAAAATAGTTACCATTGATAATGATCTATTTTAAAAAAAATTATAGTCAAAATATGGATCTGCAATGTCAAATTTTAACGATCTACTGTTGCAGCATGAACGTGAATAGACATCCATTTGCAAATTTAATTAATAAACAGAAAAAATAATTGTTTTGATATCATTATATCTCTTGGTGAACAGAATATGCATATCAAGACCTTTTGCAGTACATATATCAAGTGGCAATGCAAATTAATTTTACAAACATAAGAATCACATTACATCAGATCAGACATCTTACCCTGTAACAAATAAACTAAGTCACAATACAAATTAATGGTATTTATTTATTTAAGGGCAGGCTGTTTAAGACGATGCATATGATAAATATGATCTAAAAGACCTTCAATTCCCTGCAAAAAGAATTAAAAAAAAACAAGAGCCATCATCTCTGAATAATATTATTTTAAAATGTTTTTTGTGCACAAATTTAAAATGTTTCAGCAGACTGTCTTGTTTTCATTAGGAGATATATTAGTTTGATTCCATCTAAAATATTAGGAGGGGTTTTTAATGACATCGTTTTCAATATTAACTTATATAATATATCCATCAAAAGCTAAAAAAAAAAAAACACTTGTATATATATAATCAATATGCTTGATAAAACAGAGCATATGAAAACCATAGTCAACTCATTCAAATCTGAATTTGGAGGGGGGAAAAAGGAATGAGTAGTAGTGGCTATTAGGTATAGTTATAAAATTTGAAAAATAATCTCCATCTAAATGCAAAGAGTTAAAGTAAATTTGACACAAAAAAAGGTTAAAGTAGTAAATTGAATTAAATATATATATATATATATATTTATACACCTTAAAATTCCTTATATAATTGATCAATCCAACCCTTACTATCAATCAATACCAACATGAACAGGAAAATAATTTCTCCCCGGATTCATGTAGTTTCCTTTTATATTTTTCTTTCTTTCCTTTTTTTTCATAATTTTTACAACTCAAGAGCCATATAATTAAAGGATTGATTATATATATTACCTTTGCATTGTGGAGGAGCGGTGACACCACACTTTGCAGGCAAAGCGATGGTCTTGTTGGGGTCAATCCCAAGTGCAGGAAGCACAGACTTGTACTTGCAAAGGCACGCCAGATCAGCATGCCGGCAACCGCGCAACATGCCTCTGTTGGCGACGGCAGGTGCTGGCCGGTGACTGCTGGACAACACAAGCTCAGCTTCGTTGTGTCTGTATTGCATAACACAACCCCTTCAACTATTCCACCCAGTAACCCTATCACCACGAATACAGCCACTGCCACCACACACTGCACCAAGGGTCAGAATTTGATTGCCATGTTCTTATTAAGATGTTGAGGTTGAAAATGGATCTGGTTATTATACACACACACATTGTGTGCATGCGTGGAAATAATTTGAGACTTCAATTTTGACCTTTCAAAATGATATTTTGGTGTAGTGCAATGAACCGTCTTGGTCATCAATCAATCATTCATGACCAGTGACTGAAATTAAACATCAACATTCGTGAATGGAGAGGAAGTTTCTTATGAGTCTGGATCTGCGTTTCATATATTATATATATAACACATACAAGTGGTAGTTATACCAAACAATTATGACTTTGCATGGGATTTACATTTATGATTATATATATTCAATTTTTTTAAAATCTTCCTTGGATGGGCGAGGTTTCTTTTTTATATTAATTTTTGTTATGTTTAAGACGTTTAACATCTTTTTATGAATCATTAATCATAAAATCATTTTTATTTTCCACTTTATTCCTATTAAAATAATGATTTTCCAATTAATTTAAAATAAAATATAAATTACTCAAATGTAATTTAAAGGGTCTAATTAGTTAAAATATGATATGCGCATTCTAAAAGAATTCTTTTGTCCTTATTACAAGGCACTTGATGAAATATTAATTGCACTTTTTTAATATTACTCCTATTTAAACTCATTAACAATGAGAAATAATATAATATAAATTTGAAAAATTTTTATTTAAATAGGGATAAAATTAAAATTATATTATATTTTCAGATAAAATTAATGACTTAATCATCCCTCCTTAATTCTAGTGAGGTAATTAAAAATATTGTATAATAAATATCAGAGAAAATATATGGTAAACATAATATTCAGAATATATTCTCTAAATCATAATAGAACCAAAAGTGGTTCTATTCTCTTAGTCAATGTAGTGGGGCCTGAGAAGTATGAAGTTAGGTCACAAGTATAGTTTTGATAAGTCAGGATAAAATTATGTTAAATATAGAAAAAAAATATGTGTATATCCCATGGAGTAAACTTATTAAATAAGTTTGGTGACATTCAAAAACTATAGCCATATATCTGAAGATTTGATTATAATTTAAAATTAGATTGAAAAGATCATAATGTCCCTATAAAAATGCATTGCATATATCAATCAAGTAATTTATAACTATGTCATTAGTAATTTATAATTATCACTTTAATTTTAATTTTACAATTTTAATTTTATATATTAAATAGTTAAATTGATTATATGCTATGTAACATCCTAATTTTAATTTTAGGATTTAAGAAACATTAAAAAATAACAATTTCAAGGTAAATGAAAATTACCATGTAATTACTTGAATAAAGAAAATTTACTCTAATGGGTTAAATTTTTGCAGACTTAATTTTTAAGTCATAGTTTTTACAAAAGGAAGAATTATTTAAAGTATTTTTTCAAATTAACATGTCATAAATATTTAAATCGTATGAATATTTTATTTGAATAAAATACACAAATTTAATTCAATCCTTTAAATTTTGAAGAATATATATATTATAGATGGAATTTTAAAAAAAATAAGAAGAGGAAGAAAAGAAAATAATGAAGAGGTGTTTTTAAAACAAAAAACAAAAAAGATTTGGGGATTGGATTGAGAGCGATAGCCCATTAGTCATGCCACGTGACATTAGACGGCAAACAATTTCATCCCCTCCCACATTTCATTTTCCGAAACGGACAGAGAGGAGAGAAATAGAGAGCTTTCACACGAAACGGGGCGTGCGTTCGGCTGAGGGAGATTTCAAAATTCAAAGGGCTTTATTATATGATACCTTCAGAGTGTTTTAAAGTTTTTTAACAGTAGATAAGCATTTTAAATAATTTTTAACTATATTTTCTGTTTGATATTATAAAATATTTATGAGTATTTTAAAAGAAATTATTATAAATTAATAATATTAAATACTATTTAAATAAATTTATGTTGTAACATATATATTAAACCCCATTATTACATGAAACTATTTTTTAATTTTGTTTAATGTGTTTTTATTGTCCAATTTTATATATATCTGCCTATGAAAGGCAATACTTGCCACATGTATTTTGAAGAGCCTCTAAAACGACCTTTCTCTCCTCCTCTATCTCATTGCTTTATTAGTGTTAATATTGCTTGAGTTATTTTGTAAATTTTCATTGTTCTGCGTCCTTGTTCATTTTTTAGGAAGAGTCTATTTAATTCTTGAAAGCTACTATACAATCAATCTAGTATAGCGGAATAACTCTGAAGGACAATATTCTTGAGCACAACTCAGAGTATAATTTTACCTACTGGTACCAACAATTTTAAGAGCTGTTTTTTTTTCCAGCCTATTAATGTTTTTGAGTTTTTCCACCAGTATTTCATTCAACAATGGAAACAAGATAAGTTTATCTTATGATTTTGCTTTATTTAATTTTCATATGTATCTTAGAAATCACCTCTGTACGTGGATCCAAAATGCTTCTCACCTTTGTGTTCTTTTTTTTTTTTTTAGAGAGATAAGAAAGGAACATTATGAGTGAGGATAACATGATTAGCAGAGGTTGTTCAATTGTTATTGGAAGAAAATCTTAATTATTTGTGGTAATATTAATTGTTCTTGTAAGGAAATGGATCGGAGTTATGATTAAATTGAAAGAAGACATCTATTTAGTATTTGTAACGTCCTAAGTTTTTTCATTTATAATTATCAATGTTTTCAAGGAGTAATTTGGTCAATTTAGATAACTTATCAATTTAGCGAGGTTTATGAGAGACTAATATAGTTTTTGAATCCTTAGATAGCCTTAGAAGAGAGTTAGGTCGATGTTTAAGTGAGCCATGTCACAAAAGAGAGTTTAAAATTTTGTGAAATTTTCTGTGTCATGAGCTATGGCAGGCGTGTCAATGCACCGCGGTACACGTGCAAAATTTATACTTATTAGACATGAAAAACAAATTAAAAATAGAAGAAAAAAAGAGAGATAACAAGAGAGCGACGAAGAAGAGCTTATAGTCTACTAGGGCATGATCTTTAGGCTATTTTGGAGGCATTTGGAGCTTGGATCACCGTTAGGTAAGTTGCACATTCCCTCTTCTCTTTCTTTTATGCGAAAATCTAGATTCGTGGGGCAATGGGAGTTTTAATTGGTTCCCTTGGGTTTAGACTGAACTTATTGGTTTATTTAAGGTCTTAGTATAACATCATAAATTTTTTTTTCAAAAAAACAATTTAACTCAGCCATGGTAGAAAAGTGTCTACCATGGTAAACAAAAGTCAATTTATCCTATATTTTTTTAAAACAATTCTATAATTTAAAACACTACCATGGTAGAAAAGATTAAACCCTTTTTTAAATAATACAAAATAATTTTATACAACTAATATACATTTACAACCATAGTTGGGTTATAACCACCCAACACATTTTATATCAATAAATTTAATATAAAATATTTTATAATTGGCTTAAGCTTGCACAATAGAACATCTTGAATAAATTTTTACTTCTTACATGCCATTAGGCTTAAACCACATTTTTCATCCTTATACTCCCAACAATTGCAAACCATAGACTAATAACTAACAACTTAATCAATTCCCAAAACAAGTCAATTATTTGGCCTTATAATCATACCATTTTAAACCATCGAAAATAAATCAGAGATTAAAGTTATAGTCATCCAAAGTGTACCAAAAGTAGAAATAGTTTGAAAGACATGATTATATCATTACATTTATATAATTGTCAATAAACAAAAGCTCTAGTGTTGACAATATAACACATTAAAAATCATAAATCAAATACCTAAAAGAGACAGTAGATTTATGCCACTAAGCCTCAAGGACTCCTCCACGCGCCACTCGTGGTTCTTCTCTTAAAAATTATTAACCACATAATGAGACTCAAAAGTCTCAGTAACCAATGCTAATTTATGATAGTGTATACAAGCAGTTAAATGTTTGCTTGCTAAGTGGGAAAATAACAATAATATAATTCTAACAAAATACATGAAATATTACAATGCATAACAAACAACCATCCTTATCTCCCTCCATTAATCTCGAGCCTTATCCCTCACTCAATGTTAAATTATTCGGCCAAAGATAGATTAGCTCGAGTCTTTACAAGCCACCTGTTGAGCTCCAATAAGGGCGTACCACATGGCACATAAATACAACAACAATAACAAGTCTCCTAACACCTCCCACACTAATCAATTATACAATATTACAATCTTCACAATTTTTTTTATTTTCAACAATATTACAATATAACATCTCACTTGGAAAAAATAATTCAAAATGCCTGTCCATAATTTCACAATTTTTTCATAAATATAACAAGGTAATTTCTCAACAATAATTTATAATTTTCTCAATAATCAGCCAATTAATATGAAGCAACACTAATCACAAATTAAAAGCATGGTTACCTTATGGCTTTTTCAATAAATTATTCTTTACAATTTTTCTCCCATCACAATCTTTACCAACAACATAATCCACAAATAACATATTATTTATAAATATTAGTTTCAATTATTGAAACTAATAAAATAAATCTAATAATAGGATTAGAGAATATAACATAATTTTTAATCTCAATCTTAATATAAATCTAGAGTTAGTACTATTAAGTAAAATTTCTAATTCCTCTTTTAGTCATCAATAAATATTAATAAGCTAAAATCAACCTCTAAACCAATTCCTATTATCAAATTTTTTTTTATTTCATAAATTCGCATTTAAAACACCCAAAAATTAGAAATTGAGTCTCAAGTTTAGAATCATCATCCTATAGCCATAATAATCCATTCCTCATCCCAAATAATCATCTAAACCTCAATAAATCAACATATATTTTTAAATTTAATAAAAATTTAGCCTAGGGTTTGATCTATAAGCCTCAAATTCAAAGCCCACTAATAAATTTATACTCTAGAATATTTATTATACTACTAACAACCTCAACAACCACATTTATTCAACAAAAATTCATCCCTTTTTCAAACCCTAGATTTTCTACCACCACAAAATCTGAAACCAAAGAGGAAGGATGGCTAAGGAAAAATTTTAAAACACTTATTTAGTTTTAAAAAGCTTGAAATCACACCCTAAATATTCTATTAAAAACTCTTACCTTTGAAACTTAAATCTCTCGCACCGGTGACTCGCGTTCTCTCTGTTTTTGCTTGCGCACAAGGAAAAGCAGTGAATA